TTCTATATTTTAAAATCTTAGTATTCAGATGGGTTTGTGTTCAATGAGTTGTTTTTTTCTGCCAATTGTAAGTTCATTGAGATGCCTGTTATCCAGTGGTCACTGGGCAACACACACAAACACAGCATTGACCTGTCAGCAGTCCATCAAAAGGAAACATGAAGGATAAATAATCAGTAACACACATATTGGCACCAAACAGCTTTTAGACTGATCATTTAATCTAACATGCATGTCTTCGGAGGGTTGCCGGAATCCATTGTGCCAGATGCAAACACAGGATTAAAAAACACAACTTTGTTGTTTGCTTATAGTTGTGTAGCTCGTAACAATTTATTGCTTCAATAGGTACTATCTTTCAGCTTATCTGTCTATATTCAACCCGTGGTTCAGTAAAATAACCTAAACTGTTTTTTGTTTTGTTTTTTTTTTTAAGTAGAATCAAATAGTCAAAAATCAGCTTGGCAATAGTCTGTCTAGGTTTATGTTGTATATGGGGAAGCTCCAACATTAATGCATTCAAAGCCGTAATTTGTAGCTTTAAAAATAAATTCATTATACCACGATAGACCATATATCTACAATCATTTCTCTGAACAGGCAAAACTTCACTGATTTTTCCATGTCATCCTCGTGATCCTGGGCTGTAAAAAAAGTAAAGAGGGTTTAATACTTTAGATTTTTGACTAGTGGAGTCAAATAATGTCAGAAAACAAAAGAAAAATAGTCACAGGATGATCTTGACAGAGCCCCTATTTATTTAAACTTTTTAAAATATTTCCAAAGTGAAATATAATCCTTCACCCTTTACCTTTGACTCTAAGATAAACACACACTCACACACAAATGGGTGTGTGTATTTTGCTTGCTCTTATCAAACCAACTCACAATTTGAATTCAAACAGCTGTATTTACATTGCTTTCGCTTAAGTACATTTAGGCGACACTTATCAGTGATGTAGGACACTTGCAGAAACATGCACACATAGACCCACAGCCAAACACACACAAAGGCCTGTTTTGGTCACTCTGTGTAGAGTGAGGGTGTGTCTACTCCAGTCACGAGAGTCTTTCTGTCTCTCACTCCTTCCTGCCTGTCTAGTCCTTATGTCTTCAGCTGACACATCATTGTTTCCATCAGTATGTGTGTATAGTTTATTGTCATAAACAAAATGTCTAAAGAATGTCTATTATCCTTTGGTATGCTCCAGTTGCAGCTCGAGCAAATGTTTGATTTTAGTTTTTTTTTTCTCTGTCCCTAAATAGCATTACTGTAAATCATCTGGACATTATTAGCTTACATAGAGAAAAAGCTACTCATGGTTCATCTTATGAAATACTGAATTGATTTGATAAAACCAATGTGGGAAGACTTACCACACAAATATTAAGAAAATTTTTTTTTTTTTTTTTTTTTTTTTTTACTACAGAATTCACCCCCATCACAGATTCAGATCTTTTTTGGTCTGGAACTTCTTTAATCTTGCATTTCTAACAGACATCTACTGCTTTGTCCAGTGAAGACAGGAGAGGGTTGAAATTCTAAGAATAATTAGTAATTGGAAACTTTTTGAATGGTAAAAAATGTCATTATCCAACACCTATAATTTGAGATGAAATTACAGAAATAAAAAATGTTTCGGAAGCTAATTTAATAACTCACCCACTCAAATATACTGATTTTATTTATAAGTTTTGTACATTTTTTGGGCTAATTTATATTGTCAGTGTATATATATATTCAATCATGACTAATATATATAAAACAAATGTATTCAAAACCATGTATTCACAAATGAAATTCAAGGTTCTAGAAATTATCTTTTATATACACCATTGCCTTTATTTAGATCCCTTCATTCCCCTACAATCCATCTTAATTAATCCAAAAAGATCAAATCTGGTCTCATCTGACTAGAATATCCACCACGTTTGTTGTCTCTCTTATAACCTTTGACCCAATGCAGACACGGCTTCTAAAATCTTTCCGATTGCCAACCTCCCATGAAGAGCTGATTTATGTTTCACTCAGTAATACCAGCTGTTTTTTTTCCTGCGTGAGTTAGAGATTTCTGCAGCTCCTCCCGAATTTTCAGGGATCTCAATACCTTCTTTGTTCAGCCTGTCAGTTTAGGTGAATGCTTTTATTTCAGTACGTTTGCAGCTGCGTAGTACTCTCCGTCATTGCATCAGTAAACCATGTATTTTGCTCACAATTTATAGTTATGCACTGCTTGTATGACAATAAATCTAAAAACAAACAATAAAATAAAAAAATTTAAAAAATCAAAGAGATTGAAAAAATATTTTTCCTATAAATATGATCCGGAGCTTCTGCCAGAGTGTCCCGCCCTCGTTAATGGTCCTCATTATGAGCACGCTCCGGTCTAATGAGCCATAATAACACCTCCTGATAACACCGTGATAGGTGGCCCCTTTGGACCTGCCAACCTTTGACTGGCTGCCTGAACGTTGGTGTGCAGATACCGATAGGCCTTCAGAGGGAGGGTGGGATGGGCTGGCTGCTGGCCAGTGGATGTGATATGACTCAGAGGGATGAAAAACAACTGACAGCGGGCATTACTGTACCACAGAGATGAAAGAGTAATGATGTAAATGGTGAGAGTTTGGGTGTTTAAATATTATGAGGCCAGTAGCTTGATCTCTATATAAGAACCTCAGAGGTTTGGGAAAAAAAAAAAACATCAAGAAAAACAAGAAACACAGAACAGGGAGGGTTTAAAGTTTAGTGTTAGGTTATGTATCAATATCCTGTTCAATTCCTTTAGCAGAAAAAAAGGCACATCTGCAAACAGTGAGCATGGCCACCCACCTGGACTGGTAGGTCTGGCAAGGGTAGCATTCATCTGCTGCAGATTTCCATTGCTCATTCAGGAGAATAGTAATAATTACTAGTTTATTTTATTATTAAAAAAACTCATTAATAAGTGATATTATCTGGTTAGGCCGATACTTTTAGGCCTGTTTGCAAAACTCAGTGTTAGAAACTTAACACTGCACCACTGTGGTACACAGTGATGGAAGGATCATTATTTTGTCTTTTAAAAAATCTTTAGAACATATTTTGAAAAGGATAATAATGTTAAACAAACTGACTGAAAGGTTAAGGTCAAAACTCCTTTATGTGTTAAAATGTCCTAATCAGGAATAAATGCAACAGAGATTTTTTTTTTGTATGTTTATAGAAATTCTATATTCGGTTTGACTAAGTTTTAACTATTTATTTGTTAACTATTTATTTATTAAGTTTAATAAGTTTGAACTAATATATGAAAACTAATCAAAAAGGTTCCTTTTTCAGATACACTAAGCGAGCAGATATCTCCACAGACAAGAAACCTCTCTTCACAACATTTTGGCAGTCGGTTGCAAAAAATTCCAGAAAAATTGGCTGAAATTAATGAAGGAAAATGAAAAATGTGAAGAACTTACATTGGAATGAATACTTCCGTGAGAAAATATACTGTTAGTTAGACGCCTTTACGTTCCTAGAGGCTACAATATGGCAAGGCTCCTCAGTCTTACTGCCGTAGCACAGTTTCCAATCGTTAGATTTTCATATGTAGAACATCCAGCTTAATTATGTTGTGCAAAAGCTGACATGAACAAATTAGATATATCAATAAGATTCTCATTCAGTATTGACATAAAAGGGCCAATCTCTGACAACCCCACAAAACAGATACTGTAGTTTGCTGAGGGCCGACCTTTATTTAGTCATGACAAGAAAAATGGATTGATAGACAAACATCTGCTTGAGATCTTATAGGCAAAGTGGAGTGTTTTGACTAACGTAAAGGCAGTTTAAGATGCAATGTTCTGCTTTTTTGCCCAATTATGAATTATTAGTAAAATAATAAATATCTTTGACTAAAAGCATTAAAGCTACAGTGTGTAATAATTACAGGGATATACAGTCAGAAATGTAATATATTATACATAAATATGTTATTTATCATCATCTACGAGCTCAGCCTCTTAACCTTAATATTTGAGTTGCCTTAGAATTCGTTATTTATAATTACATAGGAGCGGGTCTCGCAGCCATGGAGGCAGACATCTTTGCGCTATGGCAGCGCAGAGCCAACAAACTAGCGATTGCAAGATTGCCCATTACGGGTATATTTATTATCCTAAGTCTACATGAAATCTATACCATACACAGACTAATGAAATACTATCTGTAAAATTATCTATGTAAACAAACCCCATCACTTGAGAAGGTAGGTGATGCGGACGTCGTGGAAGACATTTTGTCCCGTAACGCTCGCCGTACTGTTGGGGAGGAGAAGCGGTGGGGGGGGGATGTTCATGTTGCTGCGGTCTGCAGTCTGACCGCTAGATGTCGCTGAAAATTACACACTGTAGCTTTAAAATCTATTTTGATTTGCCTGTCAAAGTTAGACCTGATTGGAAAGGTAAACAATTTGTTTCCTCTGTAGAAACAGGTACCGTAGTTTCCCAGCAGGTATATTGTCACCATAAGGGAACAGAAGCAACGTGGCAGTTTTAGCATACTCTCTTTATCCTCCGCCGCATGTCTTTGAGAGAACTTCTACCTTTTAAACGAAACAGGAAAAGATAAAGAACGTCTTTCGTCATCTCTTCTTTCCCTTGAGGGCTGTCTGCCCCTGCTGTCATCCGGTAGCTTGGGCAAAGAAATTCAGGGCAGGATGAAATGTGAGAAAGGAAGGGAAAAAGACAATGCTGAAATAGGTGAAAGTAGAGGAAACATGTGGAGATATGTTGTAAATGCAAAAACAAAACAAAATAAAAAAAGATTAAGGAATAAAATGAGTAAAAGATGAACATCCTGTTCCATGAATGAGCATCGGGAAGCCTGTTGGGTTGTAAGATGGGATGAGAGACAAGCGTGCTCTTTGTTTCCCCCCTCCCACTCTCATTTCCTCCCTTTTCATCTGACCCAGTGCCCCTATATAACCTCTGACACAGACCCTGTCTCAGTCAAAGCTGTGTCAGCAGGACAGGAAGCTGAAGGTATCCTACCATTTGTTAGAGTAAGTTACCAATAATTGAGCAAACACCTGCTTAGAAAGATTTCAGCAGTTAGTGTTGCATCTGACAGACGTTTTCGGACCCGAAGCCTTTCTGGAGTGATAATCTGCCACCAGTAGAAGATGCTGAAGCAATCAGCCATCATCTTACTGCTCCTGCCGCTGGTATTCAGTGCAGGTAAGAACTGTCAGCATCACTGACTGTGAAGTTAGTCCAACTTGATCTGTTGTGTTACTGAGTTTTACCGCATAAGAGACATTTAAAAGACCAATTATGTGAGTGATGGTTCGTACATGTAAGCAGTAAATAATTCAGGAAACAGACAATTTGTCATTATTGAACAATGGCAAAATATAAAGCAGTCAGATGATTTGTGGATTAACAGAGTAGTGTAATTGATTAAGCTTGTCTGACAGTCGGTTAGTGAGGATCTCAGCTGTGTCGAGTTATTCTGAAAGAAAAGACAAAAACAAAACTCTTCTCTTGTTCAGGTAAAAGCATAACTGTGGAAATCATTTCCAGTAAGCAAGACTTCAAGGTTGGGGAGCAAATCCTGTTGGTGTGTAAAGGTAAGCAACATTTTAGTTGATGTCCGTCCGCCCGCCCGCCCATCCATCCATCCATCCATCCATCCATCCATCCATCCATCCATCCATCCATCCATCCATCCTAACATTGTCATTTGTCTCCTTCAGCCACCAAAGACGGAGACATGACATGGTATAAAGATGGAGAAGAAATCGACGATGATGAAATTATCTCAAAAGTAGACTACTCTACCTCCAAACTGATCATTAAGAAAGCCAGCCTATCAGATGCAGGAACCTATACCTGTAAATATGAGTCTGATGAAGGAGACCATCGCAATGAAGAAACAGTTCTGTATGTTTACGGTACGTGGCTACACATACATGCTCAAAATGAACAAAATCAATGAGCCTTCTGTAAAAACATGTTTGAGGACATTTTCTTCTCTTTTAGTTATTTCAGACTCACAATATTTCCCTGCCTCTGTTCTTGTTAGATGGTCCATATTTCCATGGAACCACCACCTACCATGAGTTTCTGGAGGGAGCAGACGGGGTGGTGCCGTGTCTGGTGACTGGCCAGCCAGCAGTGGAAGTTCACTGGATTAAAGACAAGGAACTGATCCCTTCTATATGTAAGATCTAAAAAACATCACCTAGAGAAGTTTCAACAGCCCAAATATAATGTTTGTTATTGTTTTATTGATGCACAACTTTAAATACATATAAACTGTAGAAAACTATAGAAATCTTAAATCAAGAACTGTTTGCTTCCATCATTGCATCATGGCCAATAAGCCAGTTCAGGGAAGCTATCTGGATTATCAGACATGTGTTTGTTAATTAGGGGTCCCAACCCCTCAGAGGCCAAAACATTTCCGCCAATTTCTTTAGCTTAGCTTTAGATAAAACTCAGACTGCTGCCTAAACCAGATAAAAATAAAGACTTTCATTGCAACAGCATAGGTTTATGGGAAAGCTAAAAAATACTACCTCGCACCAGCAGGTGATCTTTTCTCAAAGTTTTAAATTACTCTGGTTTTGCATCATATAAGCTAGACCACACCTATTATTCCCTAAATGTAAGAGTGGCTTAGGAACATAGGTACTGTACTGTATAAGTTTCTAACTATAAGTACCATAATTGTTGAATATCACCAATAGGACCTGATCTGGTTATCTGGCCTGAAGTTTGTCTTTCGGCTAAGTTCAGAAGACACCTTTTAAATCTTAGGACTTCAATGGAGAATCAAAACAAAAAGGTCACCTACTTTGTCCCTCTCTCCTTAGCTGGAAGGCGCATCCACAAGAAGTCCGATAACACGCTCCACATTGAGAAAGTGAAAAGGGATGATGCTGGGACTTACATATGTCAGGCCCAGATCAAAGGGAGACTCATTGTCCAAGAGCTTCCTGTCTCTGTTGTTGTTAATGGTTAGTCACTAATTTACTTACAGACATTTATGGTAACCAGGTCCCTGAAAGATCATGAAAGCAATTAATTGATATTTGGTTTTTACCTAATTTCTGCATATGTTTTTTTTTTTTTTCCATATGTATAATACTGCAGCTCCTCCCACGGTGCACATCAGAGAGGAGGTGAAAAAAGTGATTGCGGGGCCTGAAACCAATGTGTCGTTGTTATGTTTGGTTGGTGGTAAGCCAAAACCCAACATCACTTGGACAATGTAAGCCACTATTTTAAAAAAGAACCTGCAAACAACATCTTAAAAGTCACATCTCTTGATTGCACTTCTGGATTTTTTTAAGGCACATCTTGCTAATAAATATACCTATATTTCTATTCCCTCAATAACATGAAACCATATTAGGAAACAGATTTTCATTTGCATATTAACCATTACCTGGTGTGTAGAAGTTTGCTTAAAAATCATCCAATGTTTTACCATTTTAGTACTGTATATAAAAACTTGAAACTTCAAACAACACGCCTTGAATGTTTAAGGTTTGTTGAGCTATTTCATAAAGAGAACACAAAAAATGGAACAAATTCAATAAGCTGGTCATGTATTTACTGATAGTAATAATTTATTTATTTACATAATCAACTTTTATTACCATTTTTTTGGCCTGCATCTGGCTTTTACAGCTAAAGGCACTTAAGTAATACTGCCCTTATAGGAAATTCCTGTCTTAATTTTTTTAGGTCTTTTTTTCATGTTTTAATTTTCCAGAATGTAAATTTTGTGTACATTCAAAATAATATTCAGAAAAATTGCTCCAGTGAAGAGCTCTTCAAAGTCTAGTGTCTGTTCAAACTCTCTAAGATATCTAAAACATCCTTGTACATGGGGCGTAGCTATCCATTACTATTTTTCCCAAAAGGGGAATAAAAAAAAAAAGGCCATTTAAAGTAGGAAAGCATAAGGTTTTCTCCACAAAAGGACAGGGTATTAAACTGTTCTATTTTTACTCATAAGGCCAAACGATTTTGATCCTTCACGTCACATTTTCAACTCGGATCGGAGCCAGCTCACCATCCAGTCTGTCGTCAGGGCCGATTATGGGGAGTACGCCTGCACAGCAAAGAACAAGATCGCTGAGAGCAGTGCTACCTTTTTCCTGCATGTCTTTGGTTAGTTAATTTTTTTCTATGCTGTTGATTTGTGTCTTTTATCAGGATAGATTATCATAGTGACATTATGATGTGTTTTTTTCTGATTAGAACCTCCAGAGGTGTTCATCTCAGAAGATCAACACAGTGTTAATGTGGGTGAGCGCGTATCTGTGTCCTGTAATGTGACTGGCCACCCTCAGCCTGAACTACACTGGATCAACAAGCAAAATGGACAAAGACTGGTAATGCTACTTAAACTGCTACTTGTTACACATAAATCAGCTCTTAAATGTGTAAAGGATAATTTTAAAATGCTGGCTTTCTGTAAATTAACCAAAATAATCCACACATTTAATGGCAAACAATTTGTAAAATAATTCATCTTGGCCTTACTTTTTAGCTGCTTGATCACCTGAAACTTTAACCAGATGTTAACACTTTTCAGACTTTTCATTACCTGTCATTTAAAATCTGTGTTTAATTTTTTATGAATGGTATGTTCCTCTCTGTCAGGATTCGAGTGGCCGTATCCATGTGGTGGATGGGACGCTGGAGATTGAGGAAGTGGTGCCCTCTGATGGGGGACGGTACTCCTGCATGGCTGTCAGTAGTTTTGGAAATGCATCAAGAGATGTTGCAATTCATAGTAAGACCTCTTCTGCTTTGAGGCCAATTTCTCTCTCAATCGTCAAAATCTATCTAATTGACATTATTGTTCCTATTCTGCCACTTGTTCCGCAGCCCAACCCGGTCCACCACATTACTTGACGGTCGTCCCAGGTCCAACCTCTGTGTTATTTACACTCAAAACCTTCCCCATCAATGGAGGAACACCAATTAAAAGTTTTGTTCTGCAGTGGAGGAAAAATGAGATGGAAAAGTGGGAAGAGACAAAAGTTTCAGCTTCAGGTAAAAAATGTGCTTTTTTTTAAGGTTTTGTGGTTCTAATGTAGGTTTTTGACATCTCATTCCAGTCATCTAGCTGACCCTGTCTTTGTATTGTGTTTTTATAGATAATTTAACTATCACCAACCTAAAGCCTTACACCAAGTACACAGTTCGTATGGCTGCCGTGAATGAAGTGGGACAGGGGCTGTTCTCAATGGAACGCCTGGTTCGCACCGAGGGCAAACGTAAGTATTACCATAAAATAATAATAATAATAATAATAATACATTTTATTTGTATTGCACTTTACATTTAAAAAAAATCTCAAAGTGCTACAAAATTCATAGTTAAAACAAAACCATACAATAAAAACAGTATACATAGTTAAAATGAGACATTACAATAAAATAACATACGTAGTAAAAACAAAACAGTAAAATAACCATAAAACCACACAGATAAAATACTAACTAATGTTCAAAGGCTTTTTAAATAAAAATGTCTTGAGGCCTTTCTTGAAGGCCTCCACACTCTGTGGGACCCTAAGGGACTCTGGGAGGCCATTCCAGAGTTGTGGGGCAACTACCTGGAAGGCCCTATCTCCCATTGTGCAGAGCTTGACTCTTGGCTGGTGCAGTCGGTGGGTGGAGTTGGTGGAGCGGAGGGAAAATCTAGAAAACTATAATACAACCTATACAGCCAACAACTTCAATATGTTTTATTAGAACTTTTTGAGATTGGGAATCAAAATAAATATCCTCTTTACTCTTTACATCCTAAATACAAGCCATTGCCTTTGGAAATCAACTTATCAGAGTGAATAGACAAATGTCAGTTCTTGAAGATTTTTTCAGGCCCATTGTTTCAAAGGGAAAAGAGAATTGCAGAAATGCTTTTGTTCGTTCTGAATCCGAGCAAACAAGGCACACATTAGGGAAAGTGGAAGTATCTGTTGGTTGGACATGTTCATCAAAACACTCCACATATCTGTCATCTATGGGGAAGTTCCAGGAACTCTTCCTGGACATACCATTCCTGCAGTTAAACATGGCAGAGGAGGCATTATGCTGTGGGGACCCTTTGTCCTCAATAGTGACAGGGGGGCTGGTTTGAGTTAATGGAAGGATTCATGAAGCGAAATATAATATTGGGAAATCCTAGATGAAATCCTGTTATACACTAGAAAAGTATTGAGACTGAACATTTAGAGAGAAAATCCACAAGATTTACAGCTAAAACTAGGGCAAAAGTAAATATGAATTGCTTGATATAGGGGAGGTGAGAGCTTAGTGATTAGAGCAGTACGCTTGTGCTCTGAGAAGGTTGCAAATACCTGGTTCGATCCCGCAGCCTGGACTCTGAGTCTCTGGACAAAACCCGAAACTGCTCCCTGGGCGCCGTACAAAGGCAGCCCACTCCCCCCCTCCAGGGGGATGGATGAAATGCAGAGGTAAATTTCTCCAGTTTGAGGTCAATAAAGATCAATTCAATTAAAATCTCAAGAAAATAATATGAAAGGTTCAAGAGAGACTGATTTTCCAAGGCCTTCTACACAATGCCCATTATCTGGTTATGAAGTGTTAAAACCTTTAGAAAAATATTAAGAAACTGCCTACCTTAAAGACTTTCATATTCATTTTAATCTGCCATCTCTATTTATACATGTTCACTCGTCATTTAATCATCATTCTAACATTTTCCTGTTATCATCCCTTCCTGTCTGCTGACTCATGTCCTCACCTCTTCTGCTGTCATCCCTTTACAGAAGGTAAAGTTCCCAAACTCTTTAACAAAACTGAAAAGATAAAAGAAGTCCCTCTAAATCCTACTGATTTGAGTTGGTTGTTATATAATGCATTTAAAGTTATTTAAATCATTTCTGTCCTTCTTTTAGGTGAACCAGACAGTCCAGCTTTACCCATTGATCAGGCAGAGGTCAAGGGAAACTCCTTCTCTGTGCCTATTGAGCAAACTGATAATGGTGGATCCCCTCTGCTGCACTTTAACATCCAATACAAACAGGTGAGATTTGATGTGAGCTCACCTGGGCGTTCCTCTGTTACTTTAAATCTTCACAGCTATTAATCAGCTTTTTGTTCTCTTTTTATCCAGGATACAGAAGAGAGCGCATGGGAAAAAATGCAGCTGCCCTCTGATGCAAAATCTGTCCAACTGAAAGACCTGGCCTTTGGTTCGGACTATTACTTGGAAGTCTCAGCTGTTAATTCTAATGGCTCCTCCATCCCTGCAGTGTTCAACTTCACGACTGCTGATGAGCCTGGTGGGTTGCATTTCTGAATACACAGTATAAAAGAAACAGTTTCTGTAGGTGTGAAGTAACTCCAATGGAAGTCATGATGTTTTGCTTTTCCCTTGCAGTAAGCAAAATGACCAAAGGCACAGTGGTTGGCATTGTTATTTTGATCTTCCTGGTGGTGTACCTGGCTGTAGATGCCACCTGCTGCTACAAAAACCGCTGCGGCCTGCTCATGGCCATTGGAGGGAAGCTGTCCTCGTGGAAAGATCCAGCCCTCAAAAAGGTTGAGGAAGGAGATGTGATAGCTAATGGGTAAGCTGTTGTTTGGAAAACACCTACATACTGTGGCGATTTTCTTTCGTCAAACATCTTAAGTTAAATATGTCTGTATGTTCTTCCTGCAGAGCCGTAACCCTAAAGGGTATGTCCATGAAAAGAGGCAGTATGACGCAAGCAGTGATTCAGACAATCAGCAAAGAGGCGGGGAAGCTCACGGAGGTGACCTGCGACAAAGCCCCTCTCACCAAAAACGAGTATGTTCATCTTTGCAAAAACGTTCAAAAGTTGCTCAAACACCTTACAAATTTATTCACACTATGTAGCAGATTGTAATTTTAATCTGAGTAAATATGAAAAAATTTAAAAGAGTTATAGACCTTTTTCACTGCACAGCGGGTTCAGAAGTCAAAGGCTACGTTCACACTGCAGGCCTTGATGCTCAATTCCCATTTTTTTGTGAAATCCGATTTTTTGTTGCCAGGCCATTTACTTTGTCGGGTATTAATAGCGTTAAGGTCGGATGAATGACACAGGTCGCATTTGAAAAGATCAGATTCGCATCGGATTCAGGACCACATAGCCAAGTGGCCTGGGTCGCATTGGAAATAAATTGGATTTGTGTTGTTCAGACTGCCATGAAAAGATCAGATCCAGGTCGCATATGGGTAAAAAAAAAATCAGATTTGAGTTACTTCAGGCTGCAGTGTGAACGTAGCCAGAGTAAATGTGAACTGTTTAGCAGCTTTAATTGTCTTTTTAATTAATTCCAAAAACCTATGTTTTTGTCTTTTCCTTACAGGAAATTACATCCCACAACTGATCCCTGAGGTCTTATAAAGTGAAGGAAGAAGATTGAAAACTACAGACAATATGTTGCACAGAAAGCTAGAGAAGAAGACTGTGGATCCCAGCTGCTGTGGGAGAAATCAAACACTCTAGAATGGATGGATTAGGACTGATAAAGATTAATTGATCCTGCCCTCTGTGCTGTTAGCGCGTAGCAGATGTTAGCCTTGCTGCTAGCTTAAATTTATACGCGTTTGTTCTCCAACAGGCAAATAATGATGTCTGTGTTTTACAGGGTAAATGTTTTGTTATTCTTTAATCTTTACAACAGCTTTCGTGGAAGAAAAGATTGAAATTGAAGTGGCACAACGAATGTTTAGCTGGTGCTTCTCGTAGTTTCACAGACAGAATAATCTTTTTGCGTTGCTAACATCTTTATTGCTAACATTGTGCTAACAGCAGGAAACGTTACAATAGATCTGATTTCTTTCTGAGTGTATACTAATGAAAACTAATGTAAAATATGTCCTGTTTATATTTATTATTTTCTAACGTTACCTTTATAAAAGTTTTTGTTTTAAGAGGGTTTGAATACATTCAAACCCATGTTTAGCTTTATTGCTTGCTCTTCCTTTAAGCATGTTTCTGTGAAGACATTTTGGAAAGTCAGCATTGGCCAGATTAGAAACATTTAATTAAAAGCAACTTACATAAATTTAATATCACAGCTACAAAATGTGTATTTTAGATTAATGCTACAATTATAAGCAACCATAGGTCATAGAATGAAGCTAACGTAAAGCAATACGGTGTAACTTTTAGCCACTTTAAGAACATTAGACCCCTGGAAGTACTCAAATGTCGCAAAATTAAACAGTCTGCCCCTGTCCTACAACAGAAAACCAAAAATATGTGATATATGATTTTGATATAGTGACTGCCAATCTGTTTTTTTGCCTTTTAACAACTTTTAGTTCAGTTAGCGCTAGTATTTAAATGGAGACTGCAGTGAAGCTGCACTTTAGGTCATATGAATTATTTCTCAAGTCGTATGGTTGGGGTCTTTTTTTTTGGAAGAATGACTTGCATGGACATATAAGCTGTAATAAGTGCTATATATTGACATAAAATTCATTTATAACATAAATCAAGTTAATCTAATACTTGGGTCAAAAGCTGAGCGCTGCTGCTTTAAAGGTTTTTGTGTGAAAAAGTCCTGAACTCTTTTAATATTGTTTTTACCACTGTACATTGTGTATACATCTCTTATGTATTTGATAAATTGCCTTATTTCTTTTGGGCTCACCATATGAATGTTTTGTTTTTGCATTTTTAATAAAATCAAATCAGAAATGAACAATATTGTATTTAATTTTTCTCTTACTTTTTTCGTGACAAAAATCAATATTTTATCCCTACAAGTAAAAATGCTATGCATTAAGAAATATAATAAACCATGTTTTCCTGCTGTTAAAATGGTGCTGAAAGCTTCATTCTGTGGCGAAAGTTTTCATAAACTGGGACTGAATGCTGCTCAGACTTGGCAGACGGAGCTAAATTAACGGGACTCTTAAGTGTTTCCTTAACTGTCTGCAAAGTTGTCATGGGGTTGGATGTTTTTGGGGGGGGGGTTTGGGTTTTTTTTTTATAGCATCGAGCTTATTGCTGCTTAAAATGCGTCAGTAGTAGCAAAATGTTGATTTCCAGAAAAACATTCTTATGATAACTCTTTTCCAAATTTCCCTTTCTAGCTAACTCACTGATTTATAACGGTAAGAGATGACACCCAAAATTTTAGCGGTAAAAGGATTTGAGTGTTAAAAGAAACTAGGTGTAAATCAAGATTTTTCAGGGGGGGGGTTTGTTTTGTTTTTTAAAGGTTTGTACTGTAGGTAAGCTGTTTAGACCAGCACCTACTCTGCTATCTGAAGATCGAAGTCACATATAATAAAGCACCATTTGAATTGAACTTATTCTCTTACTTTCTTTTATTGTCCTAATACTGTTGACATGTTTTTATCAGAATTTGTGGTTTGATTCTACATTTTATTTTAATGCAAACAGACCCTGTAGAGTCAGTTTAGAGAATCTATATCACATTATTCTACAGACAGTTTTTCTTATCATCAGGACCCCCAAGGTTAAATAGCTGGGAAAATTTTTTTTGATTTCTTTTATAAAGCAAATACCTTTTCCCTTTATCTCTACTTTCTTACTGGGTATGATTGAGGCTCAAACAAATATAAAGTAACTTCATTTTCTTTTTGGTCAGTATTAAAATCAAGTTTTTAAAAAGGCGACTTACCAAAAGGAATCAAATGCATGTCGGTGACCTTTGTGCTTAACCTCTTAGCCAGGGTGGATGGTCCCATCTGGTCATATGGTGCATTTGGCAAAATTGTGCTGTTTTGGTTTTATTTTTATTTTCCAAAAGGATTTTTTTTCTTGCAAAGATTATTTAAATCTTGTCCAGCAGTTCATATTGAGTAATCCCTTTCCTGTGCTCAACTTTTCTCCTATTGCGAGTTATTTTGTTACAGCACTAATAGTACCACTGCTCTATTTTGTGTCCTTATAATTCTAGCAAAGCCTTTGCATTTTTATTTTTATACACTATTTACATGTTAATATTTTTTATTGTTCATTTTTAATTTATGTTTCTATATAATTTGATTAAAATTACTCTCTAAAGTGCTTTGAGATCACTGTCAAAGTTTTTTACACTGAATTGAATCTTGGGAGAAAACCTTTAAAAAGCTGCAAAAGATTGGCCCAGTCAAAGTCCAGACATAAATCAATCTCTAAATGTGTAAAGCAGCTTTAAAAACCCAGCAGCTATAATTGCAACAAAAAGTGTAATTCTTATTGAGATTTTTTTTTTTAAAGATTTTTATTTTCCTTCTTTTCTAAAAAGTGAGCACAGCTTAGTGTAAACTAAGACACCAACGTTTCTGTTTGTAACTTTGGAATCTCTGCAATTCAGCACCTTGGAAATCCTGCTGCTTGGAAACAAATGAAACAAATGAAATTCAACATATAGTGAAAAGTGTTAAGGAATACACATACCTGGCTAGATTATAACAGCAACAATAGTTTTACAATTGTCACTTTTTAAAATAAATTAAAAACACTCTCAAACACACCAAGCTTATGTTTGTCTTTTGAAGCAAAACCCCAGAATTTCCTGAGGAAATAACTGATGCTTAACTTTTTTGTCCTAAAACTCGTTTACAAACTTGAGTAAACAGCGAATTAAGTTTTTTTTCTTCATGTTTGGAATCTTTGAAACAGATAAAATCTTTTCCATAAATAATTACCAAACACTGAGCGGATGCGGATGAGAACAAGTCTTGTGGCCTACTTTTCAACATGAGAAAACATCTAACAGCAAAAAAAAAAAAAAAAAGTAAAGATCAAGTTCCAGATATGCAGTATAGGAATGAAAAAATGCTTGGTTTATTCTTAGTATCAGGTTAAGACATTACCAACCCTAGCATTTGGATAGCTAAATCCTGTATATCAGACAATTGACAAAAATGCAATTATAAGTCACTGATATTTTCTTAGATATGCAAATATCCCTTTACTATTTGGAAACCTCAAATAACTTTTCACCAAAGCATCAGACATGAGGTCTTTCTAGGACTTACAATTATAACTTGGCACTTTTCATACAGAAGTTTCTTTGATTTCTTTTTAAATAGAATTTAAAACTCATTCAGTTTTAATTTGTGTTACAATTTTCAAAGTAGAGATACTTTTAATCAACCGAAATTAAAATAAGTATTTAATAATCACCAATATATCTATGAAGATTGCATTAACATTAAATGTCATAGTGAATTGGTAACAGTTGATTTAGACCAGACATGCAAGATAATTAAACCATTTTTTTTTATTACATCAGTTTGCAATATTAAAAGATTAACAGTTTTTTTTTTAAATTTTTACAAACCTAAGAGTCTAACCTCAAATATATTTGAGGTTAGGTTATATATTTGGTTAGGTTATATATTTATATATATGAAATAGTTTTAAACTTGTATGCTTTAATTTTATTCAACATTTTTTTTGTCTATTGCAAACAAAAACGTTTTATCCCCAAAATATCCAGAAGGGGGCGACATACAGCACATTATCAGAATGAAGATTTTAAAACTGTCCTCCAGTGTATATATATATATATATATGAAGAAGGAAAAGTAAACTCTTCAGACCAGGGGGAAATTAGAAATACAAGCCTTGGTAACGGTCTGTTTTGAAGCAACAGTGATTCTCAAAGTTAAAAAAAAAGTAACTCTAATGAGAACTGTTGAGTTTTTCAATGTGTTAATCTGTTTGTGGATACGCTGGTGAAGGTTCTCAGTCATTCAGGTCAGAGTCAATCCAAAAAAAAAGGAAATTAAAAACAATCCACTGGAGTTTGTTTCCAAGTTTAAAGATGTTTCCCTTCCTATCCAGGAAGCTTTCGCAATTCAAAATGTGAGGAAAAGCATTGGTCGTTAAAGGGAATTGTTGGCCTGGCTGAATTATTCTGTGAGCACATGTTAAGATTAGGAAAACATTTGACTGTTAAACTGAATAGAAGATAGTGAAAATAAAGCAGGAAATAAGAGTTTCACAATACTGACTCTTATTTCCTGACATACCTTTTTTTGCTGTAATTGTTGCACTGTAATTGTCAGTTGATATGAAAGGGGAGCAATGCTATTCGACACACAAGGAGGATAAAGTAATCATGAAAACGTCCTGACCTGTGTTTGCATTAAGATTTTCATGGGAGTGTCTGTTTTAAAGGGAGTGGATTTATTTCAGATGACTCAAACAGCAGATGTAGCAATCAATGTGCTAAGGGCTGGATTACACATTTCAGTATTGTTCTAAAAAGCTCGTTCAGATCCAGCTTTGTTTTATCAAACATATGTTTCCGTTTCTTGTAAATTAAATTGGTTGTATTCTATTATTTATTGGGTAAGACGTATTATTATAGGGGCTACACTTTTGGCCGATGGGTAGCAATGCTGCCTTGCAGCAAGAAGGTTCTGGGTTCGAATCCCGCCAAGGGTCTTTCTGCATGGAGTTAGCATGTTCTCCCTGTGCATGTGTGGGTTCTCTCTGGGTTCCTCCCAAAGTCCAAAACAGGTCTGTTGATTAATTGCCTTCTCTAAATTCTCCTTAGGAGTAAGTGTGTGAATGGTTGTGTATCTCTGTGTTGCCCTGCGATAGACTGACGCCCCGTGCAGGGTGTAACCCACCTCTTTCCCGTAGAAAGATGGAGATAGGCAGCAGCACCCCTCATGACCCCAGCTGGGATAGCTCAGTAGGACTTGTTGATGTTTTGAAATTCCTGTGATTTGCTAAGTAATGATTTGGTCATATCTTTGCTTTCAGCTTGCAGCACCTACTCCATGGTTAAAAAGATCCATACTCCCTAACTGCATCATTCCAAGCTGGAAGAATGACCTACCAAGTGCTACCAGAAACCTGTCCATCTTTGAGAAACTGGTAAGGCAAGGCAACTTTATTTGTGTAGAACAATTCAGTACGTGGACAATTTGAAGTGCTTTACATGAATTAGATAATAGAAGAAAATAAACACAGAATAAAAGGAAATACAGCTAAAAATCTGTAAAACTAATAAAACAATCAAAGCACAACCTAATAATCATAATGCCTCAATTAAGAGTTTAACTTCAACAGTGAAAGGCAACTCTAAACAAATGGGTGTTTAACTGAATTAAAAGAACTCAGGCTTTCAGCACTTCTAGAAG